AAGACAATCTGAAAACAGGGCCGAAGACTAGATGGGATAACAGATAAGATTACTGAAGCTGAAGCTTCTTAAATGTGTGGAGCTCATTCAGATCTCATTCTGAAGCTTCTTATCGCCGGTCGCTCTCATGCTTCGAGGCTACGCTTATTGCACCCATCCAGACCGATGCCGGGGAACAACCAAGATGATATCATCCTCCAATCCAGCCTGCAGGTCCTGGCTGGGACGGGGTCGGTGTCGCCATCGGGCTGAGTGTGAAAGGCCCTCGAAGTGCTGAAGCCGGTAAGATGGGGTGTGCTGGCCTGGGGCATTTTGGACACGGATTTGCTATGATTTGCTTCTGGAGGGTCTACTTTTTTTGGGGGGACTTGCTGGATGTATTTGTAGCATTTTGTAGCACCGACACCCAAGAGTATCCTACTGGCAGCCTACTAGGTGGGATTTGAAGTGCAATATTTGACTGTTTGAGTTGGCCGTGGCTTGGGCAGCCGCTTTCAGCACAGAGACTTGACCCGTACACTCGCCGTCTTCCGGGATCCCACTTCTTGCCATGCAGCCCTGCGATCCATCATCGGCCTTCTTCGGTTTCCATGCCGCACATTTATCCTCGACATGTTTGCCTAGTCTCGCCACGTCAGGCATGATATACGCTGACTCGCATGCGGTCATCAGGATGCAGGCATGTATACTGTAGGTATATGAAACATTTGCATACTATGACTATAACATAATTACTTACACATAGATGCAGTGCAGACATGTTCTAATGGAATGTGAAAACCAAGCACTAAGGCCTTGGAACCATGACATAACACAACTCTATACCATTCTTCATAGGAAGGTTAACACAGATTCCGCGAATGGGCCTTGAAAATCAAATGCCAACTAAGCCGCCGGCCTTGCACCTTGTACAGTTCCGTCTACCATGCGGCCACCTTCCGCCACCAGCAACCACAAGTAAAAGGCAAGCAAACGGAGCACACTTCATGTGCCTGGAAGCCTTGGAATTTCATGTCGGCTTCTTGCCAGCGACACAAAACAGACTCTCAGGATCCGAATCAACAACCGAGCAAGCCAAGCCTGTCGGAGAATATGTAGTAAGCGAAAGGCATCGGCAAAAGTGATTGACTAGATGGACACTTGACAGACCGGAGCAAAGACGCTATTAGTAGCTCCTGGCCTTACTGCTAGGAGCAAGAAGCTACTAGTACTAAAGGGCATCGCTAGTAGTAACAAGAAGCTACTAGTAGCTCCTGGCATCGCTACTAATTAGTCACAAAGGGCATCGCTACTAGGAGCAAGGACGCTACTATTAGCTCCCTAGATAGCCGCCTCGCTGGGTGAGTCGACAGGAAGGCAGGTCCGGCCCGTGGTGGAGCTCGTTCTGACCCGTTGTCCTGTTTTAGTGTTTCCCCCACTCCTTTAAGACATGTCGCTGGAACTGCCGGAGGACCAAGGCATCCAACCATCAACAAATTCCGAAAAGACATCCATGAAGGATCACAAAGGCCCCGACATATAGGAGCCCAAGCATTTGCTGAAGACAATTTAATATTTAGATTGGAACAGCCAAGAATACACCCACGCAGTCAACGGTGTATCATCAGACAGGTGCTACTGGATCGGGATGAGGCACGAAATGCGATGACAACCATTTCAGGCATCAACTACATACGGTTCAAAGAGGCCTATGTTGAGTCCATTCCGCTTGTTGAGTTTCAACATCTTAGACAAACAGCCCAGGCGCCATCGCACAGGATTCTGTACAGAGCGGTGCGGATTTCCTCGTTGTGTCACAGCCTAGGCTTCATGGGAGTCACTTCGGCACTGGTCTTCGCCAACTTGGGAGCTGCAACTCGGTGGGCGTTGGCGTTGCTTGATTTTCTTTTTCGTTTCGAGATCTGGCGAAACGAGCTCCGCGAAACCCTGATGGTTTTCATCATGGGGTGTTTTTTTTGGAGTGACGGTCCAGCATCTATGTTTGATTGCGGCATCTATATATATATATATATCTAGTCACTGATGTAACCTTCTTATTTTGATTTCCAATTGACTAGTGGTGATCTCTTTGATGAGTGTGCTTTTGATGATTTCGATGGCGTTGATGCTGCTGCAAATTGCGACCGAGGCCTACGGAACGGCCAAGTCAGGTGTTGGCATTGCATCCATGGGCGTTATGCGACCAGACATGATCATGAAGCTTTGCTGCAAACCAGACATGGTCGTTTTCGAACCTGAGAGGCTCTCGATGTCGTGCCTGAGAGGCTCTCGAAGTGAGTGCTGCCCGGGCTTAGGAAGTCCATCATTCCCGTGGTCATGGCGGGTGTCCTGGGCATCTACGGCCTCATCACGGCGGTGATCATCAACGGCACCGCGAACTTGGGTCATGGGACGGGAAGGAGAGCACGGACACCCAAACAGTGCATGAGACCTTTTTTCAAGGGTAGAGTTGGTGAGCCCGGGGGGCATAAAACCCTAAATTGAAGAGATCGGAAGATGATATCGGCCATCGGACGTCTATGGCCTTCAATTAATGGATAATTTATACTGTAATTAAGCATTTCTGCTCATGCGGGTCTGAAGACCGCAAAAGGGTTGGTGCCCAAGACTCCTTGCCAATCTAATTAAAATGAAATCCAACTGCAACATTACTTTTGGTTTGGTCCCGACCGGTCTTGCTGGTTTAGGAGAAGGGGCAGCCCTATCAGTCTTCTATCACTTGCGTTTGCTAGCTCATGTGGCAGCTGCTTACAGACAGTGCAGAATGAGCTCGAAGTTGTCTCAGAGCAACCATACAGGATCATACACAGGTATTTGGAGAAAGTGGTGCAAACGCATGTTGGAAAGCAAAGCTTCAAATAGTACTAAAAAAGCGTTCCCGTAAGTCAATGCTTTACTCTTGTATACTACGATCCGCGTTTGATTGCTTTTACTCATTTTACTCTATCAGGATGGTGATCACGCATAAAAGCACATGTTTATTTAATTAGCAGTTGCCTTTGCAGCGCAGACCCCTCTTGTTGTGTTGCCATGCCACGGCCACGAAAATAGCATCATGTGAGGTAAGATGGATGCTGCCAACTATTCTGCCTACTCTGGCTATGCGCATTTGGGCGCTGGGCTTACGGTTGGAATGAGCTCTCTGGCTGCTGGTCTGGCCATTGGAATTGTGGGAGATGCCGGCGTGCGAGCGAATGCACAGCAGCCTCGACTATTCGTAGGCCCGGATGGTTGGATGGCTCAGTCTCATTCGAGCTGGAGTCGGATGGTCAGAATTCAAACCAAAGAAAGCTTGCTTGCGAAGTGTGTTCATGTCAGAGTTGCTGAGGTTAGCAAGGTTCGTTCCCACAAAGTTAAAGTCAGCTTCCTGATTTGCGCCAGGGATGATCCTGATCCTCATCTTCGCAGAAGCTTTGGGTCTTTACGGGCTCATTGTCGGACTAGTTGTAGCATCCACGGCCGAAGGCAAAGGCAAAGGCCTCTGCACACCTTATGCGTGACCTGGCAATTGCCTCTAGTGCTTGCGCATTAGCGTTTGCGAGTTTTGTCAGTGGCATGTGGGTGCTGCCCCTACGAACGCAGCACTTATCCGCACAGCGTCCCGTGATTGGCATGTCTTCGCTGTCAGGGATCAGGACAAGAGATCTGCAGGAGAGAAAAGCAGGAGTGCTAGGAAAAAAGGAGCAGCACCCGAACGGAGCAGATGGCACGCACTGCAGCATTGCAGTCATACCAATTCTATCCAATTCTCATTCTCCATCACATATCAATTATATAGCCACTTTATGCAACTTTCAATTGCATGATCCATGCTGATGAGGTAGCATTTCCTAACACATTATGTAAGTGCTCCAGAGGATGTGTCTTGCTCCGTCTCTCGAAGTGCTCCAGTCCAGTTGGCAGATGTTCTCCGCACAGTCAGGGCCACGGACGTTCTCTTCGACAAAGGATGGCGAGAGCGACACAGGCCCCGTAGCAGTGTACACACAAAAAGATTGGAGACGTGCACTTCACATACGAAGCAAAGAACAGCTGTTGAAGTGGGGGGTTAGTGGCAGCCTCGTCTCATTCATGCTGCATGCTCACATTTTCTGCACTGTCGGTGCAGTTTTGCTCCTGTGGCTATTATTCATGATTGTGCGGAGTTCCAATGCACCTGGCTTCAGGCAGGGAGAAAATGACTACGCGAAGACTTACATCAGTGAGCCATTTGCTGCTTGAGCTTCAATCAGGGTCCTTTTTCGAGGGTCCCGTTTTGGTCCCGGGGTTGTTGGGACTCCAGAGTTCCTGGAACGGTGGAAGCAGCCTCCCAGCTTGTGATGATCACACCATATCACACCTCAGCATCACATGTCAATGCAATGTTTGAAGTCAGACTTAATCAGATCTTTGGCAAGCTGTGGTTGTGCTTGGGATTGCTAGCGTTAGCCTTAGAGCCTTAAGGCTTCGTCACAGAACAGCCAAGGCTGAGCGAGCAAAACGCTTCGTGTTGCGCTCCATTGCCGGGGCATTGGCAGGGCTTGGCCTGCATGCGCTAGCGACCCGTATTTGGGGAAAGGGCGAGAAGACGGAATGAAGGAGCTAGATTTCGACTTAGACACTCTTTGAGAGGATGCCACTTACTCGGAACCTTAGGAACCTCCATGGATTTTCACGGAGAGCCATGAGAAAGAATCTGGCTGCATTTGAATTCGTGATTCTTAGCATGGAATCGGTTCCCGAATTGTTTCACCCCGCCGGTTGCTCAAGCATGCCAATGCCAAGCTTTCATGCTGGAGCCGATAGAAAAGGCGGGCGCATGCGCGGATCGAACGCATGCCTGAAGGCTGTTCTTTCTATTAGACGTGACATACAATATTGTACATACTAGTGTATTGGGATATGTTAATACTGCTCCATATAGAGTACTTCACGTTACCTGCAACTCCTCCTACAGAAAGCGATTAAAGCAACATCATGTTCGGTGCTTGTCAAAAGATTGGAGGGCCTGCAATCCCAAGGTTAGGCGTCCTCAATGCAGAGTTGGCCCTCTATTCCTTTGCCGTGCCACGCTGGCTGGCTTGCCTTTCCACATGTTACTCAGTTCCGAGGTATGTGGTCTAAGGACCATTAGGCCGGCTTCAAACCCGAAGGGAGACGGAGTGAAAGGCAGTCCGTGAAGGAAGTGTGAAGCCTTGCGGATGCTGACAATCACAAGTAGGGGCAGCCCCTGGCAGGACAAACGGCGAAATGGAGGTGGCTGCTTCCTACCGGGATGTGGCTGGTTGCAACCTCAGGTCCAATTAAGAACACTACGCATGACGCATGCGGACAGGTTGCTTTGCTGCGTGTTACATCACCCAATCATTTGCGCAAGGCTCAAAGATTCGAGACCTGCCCTTGCGCATCATGATAGGCAAGGGCATCGACCCATGATTTCTTTTCTTGGCTTATATAACTTGTTCTGGATTTGGTTATTATAATACATCAACTTCGAGATGTTTCAACTCCCTCCGGCAACTCTAAAGCAAGGCTCCCATGTCATTTTTGGTCGGAACGGGATTTTTCTAGCATTTTTTTTTCCAGGAGTGTTTTGCTTAAGACCTCAACCCTTTTCGGTCTCAGGTTGGTGGATTGTGGTGGATCAATGTTCAAGTCATGGTAACATTTTGGAGGCATTAAAGCTCTTCATTGTGCAACCCACCGGTGACAGGCTCTAGGTGGCCTTTATTGTTGCTACTCTCGTGGGAAGCTGAGCTTGTGGAAGGAATCAGAATGGTGGAATTGCCCCCAGCATGTGACAAGCTGCCTATGGACCATGCATGATTATCGCCACCATAGTGATGGTCATTTATTCAATAATTCTGCCATACTACTTGTTGCTCTTAGCCTCGATGAAGTTGCATTTTTTGAACCAGCTTCCCAGGATGAAGTAGCAGTCAGTGGCAGTATGTGGCAGTCATGGCAGCCCTGGGCTGCCGAGGTCTGAAAACCTCAGGAAGCATGCCCCACCTCAAGGCACCAAAAGCCTGATGCGGAGTTGGTTCTCAGACGATCATCGTGGCTGGAGCGAGACAGAATTTGGTAAGAAGTGTGAGAATGTTAGAGGTGTTACACTCACATCCTCAAGCCGTCATAGCACAATTGTAAGGCCTGGGCGGCCTGGTGCCTTTTTGGGTGTTACCAAATAGAGCCACCTCGCGGTGGCTCCAGGCAGTCCTGACATCGCCAACGATGTGACGGCCAACTGCTTACACGTGGAGAACCCGGTCGGTGGGGCCCGGTCGGTGTTCGCGTTTTCGAGCGCGTCCGGCGAACTGCGGAGAGCGCGACGTGGAGTTGCGCTGCTGTTGTTCCGCTCAGGTCCTGAACTGGCCCAGGTTCCAGTCGCTCTTCTGGGGTGCTGAGGAGAAGGTCAAAGAATGGCCAGGCGCCTCAAGGCTTTTGACGTGATTCGAGAGTTCCGAAGGAGAAGTGGGAGAAGCCAACATTGTGAAAATGTCACGAAAGCTAGCATGCTAGCTGAGTTCTTCTTTGCTTTAGCAATTGGTAGCGGAATGAGCTGCGTGCCTTAAAGCTTTATATATCACACTAAGGGGGGGGGGGCCGGGCCCCCCCCCCTCCCGGGATATATCACGCCAAGGCCCCCCCCCCCCGCCCCCCCCCCCCGCAGTTCAACTCCCAGCTGCAGTTTTGGCATTAGTGGAGGTGTTGTTACATGTTGGAAATTGTTGGTGTTTTGTTTCGTATTTTTGATTTTGGGGTGTGCATTCAAAACCAGGATGTCAAAGACATCATGCACTTGAATTTTGGATGATCCTGGGTAGCGGAAACACACGTAATTATTGGAGAATCAAGATGACACTCATGGGATTTTGCATGCGTTTTTGCAAAACATCCACTGATTTGGTGTTTGTATTTAGGATTCATTGAGGAGCTTTGTCGGAAGCATGGTCAGCTTCGTCAGAAGCATGATCATTTGCTCGTTTTTTCTTGTGGATGCATCACATAACATTTCGGCTGCGCCTCGTCAGTTGATGAATCTTCATTACCTGAGAGCAAACTGTTTGAATTTACTGTTTTCGACATGTGTGGTTTGGCAAAATTGTTGATTGTATCCATACCCGCCAGATTTGCTACCGGCTATTTCTTGAAGACACTCTATTCCTTATAGCTTTTACCAGTGCTTATCCTACACTATGGACGCTCTAATGTATGTACAGTCCTTGTGGTGCAAGAAATGCTGACCCCTCTTTCCGACCCAAGGCATACGAAAGCGGGGGGTAAATTTACCCCCCAAATTTGCCATAACCATAAGCCGGCTATTGCCCCAAGACATTCTATTCCTTATACGCCCTAGTGTATGTACAGTCCGTGTGATGTCAGAAATGCTCACCCCTCTTTCCTACCCAAGGCATACAAAAGCGGTAGGTAATCACGAAAGCTAGCATGCTAGCTGAGTTCTTCTTTGCTTTAGCAATTGGTAGTGGGATGAGCTGTGTGCCTTAAAGCTTGATATATCACGCTAACCCCCCGGTTCGACTCCCAGCTGCGCCGTGTAGCGGGGGTTGGTTGAACGTGTGAACGTGGTTGGTTGGGTGTAAACGGTGGCTTGGTGTAAACGGTGCTGCTGCTGCCGCTCTGCTGCTTGCTGCTGCTGTTTGCTGCTGCCGCTGGTTGCCGCTTTTGTAGCTGCTGCTTTGCTACTTGTTGCGGCTTGGTGCCGCTGCTGCTGTTGCTGACGACGCTGCTGCTGCTGCTGCTGCTGCTGCTTGCTGCTTGCTGCTGCTGCTGCTTGCTGCTTGCTGCTTGCTGCTGGTGGTGATGGTGCTGCTGCTTGGTGCTGCGCTGCTGCTGCGTGGTGCTGCTGGCTGGCTGCTGGTTGGTGGTTGCTGCTGGCTGCTGGCTGCTGGCGGCTGCTGCTGCTGCTGCTGCTGCTTGCTGCATAGGCCTTGTACTTCACTGCTACAAGTTCTTTACCCTATTTCTAGCCTAATGCATGCATAAGCGGGGGGTAAATTTACCCCCCAGATTTGCCATAACCATAAGCCGGCTATTTCCTCAAGACACTCTATTCCATATACCTTTTACCCGTGCTTCTCCTACACTACGGACGCCCTAGTGTATGCACAGTCCTTGTGATGCCAAAAATGCTTACCCCTCTTTCCGGCACAAGGCGTACATAAGCGGGGGATAGCGGGGGCAAATTTACCCCCATAAGCCGGCTATTTCCTCAAGACACTCTATTCCATATACCTTTTACCCGTGCTTCTCCTACACTACGGGCGCCCTAGTGTATGTACAGTCCGTGTGATGTCAGAAATGCTTACCCCTCTTTCCGACTCAAGGCATACAAAAGCGGGGGGTAAATTTACTCTCCAGATTTGCCGATCACGCATCGTCGTGCCTGCCAACGAGTGCACCCGTGTTGTTCCAATGCACCCTTCCTAGTCGGCGATGTCACATTTACATTCTTTAGCGCGAAGTGTGTACGTAGCAACCTTTCTCCCAAAACATGTAATCACTACATGCTTTGCCGACTATGTAACTAGTACATCCGGTGCGATTCGGCTAGCTTTCGACCTCCTCCCCCTGGCCTCAAGTCCATGACTTGCCATGCCCGGCCATGCCCCCCTTTCCTTGACAGCATGTGGATCGGAGAAAGTCCCTCGGAGCTCAGGATGGTGGAATCGATCCGCTATGTGTACTCATGGCAGATGGTGCAGATCCCGAAGGATTCCGCCACTTCGGAACATGCGGCATTGAATCAGCAGTGCGATAAACAAGAGATCGAGTTGTAAAGGCTACATACTACACACACTAAAGTTTTGCAGAACCCATCATTTTCCTTCAACGTCCCTTGAATTCAAAGTCAGTCTGGCATAGTCGGCCGCAGTCTCGTTGCTCTAAATGTTCATGGCGGGATAATAGGTACATCAGGTTTGGAAGGCTTGGGTTCGCATGGTTCATCTCATTCCTTTTGAGCCTAACTGGCTTTGAAAACCCACCCAGCCACCCTCAAAAGGCGACCTCCCCCGTTGGTGAGTCCACTCCTCTTGGATATCCGGTACGGATAGGGGCTATCCTGTTCGTTTAGGTGACTGCACCTGAGGGAGGTGTATGCTGGGATCGTCGGAAGGGAGCAGCCCCCTCTCTGAGAAGTAATTAATTTAAGATGTATATGTCTATATCATCAATTAGCGATATTATTTATGACGTGTTATACGTGACGATATCCTATATATTCATGTATGTGTTTGTTTGTGTGTGTCTCGACCAGGATTGCCCATTGTGTCGTGCGCTGACCATGTGCAGGATGTCATGGCGGAATGCCCGTTGGGTTACATCACTGCCGTGCTCATCAAGGCCGTAGCTCTGATGGTCTTTGCAAACAAGCCTCATTACCCCGTCCCTGTTGAAGTACTGAAGTAGAGTCCTCAAGTGAAATAGAGTCCTCAAAGGACGGTAAGGACCAGTAGAGCTGTAAAATTGGGAGGAGCTTGGAAGCTGAGCCTGATAGTGGTATTGGTTCATGGGAAGACATAGTGCAAGCAAGTTCTGATTCTAGATTCTTGTGTGCCTACCCATATAGCCAGCGTGTCCGCACCGCTTCCCTCAGAGGCCTTTACTTGCGCCACCTCAGAAAGCAGCTGCTTTGAGAGCTTTGCTAGTCAGGCCTGCTGCGTGCCCATGCTCGCCATAGTGGCCTTGCAGAAATATGCCAAAAAGAATCCAATGATATGTATGTAAATCTATTCACGTAAAGAAGCGCCTTCTTTCATTATCTCGTCATGTCTAGTCTACTTATCTCATCTAGTTTTCGGTTGGTATCTTGCGGTATACATTAGCAACATCACAATACTATATATTTAAACAAATACTTTATTGTATACATATCGCTTCCACCTTTCAACTTTCAACCTTCCAGGTCCAAAATTTCTTCGTGACCCAGTGATGTGCTCAGTCTAGTGTGTATATTGGATGACGCCACATTGCAAGACTTGTGTGGCGGTGGCCGGTTTTCTAGCTCCTCATCAACTCAAAGACCTGCAAATCCCCTGCAAGACCTGTTGTGGTGGAGTCCCTTGCAAGACCTGCAAATCCTGCAAAAGGTTCGAACGGGTCGATGGTTTCGCGGGAACCTCTTCGCAGCTCTTCGAACCTGAGGGCGAACCTCTTCGAAGCTTTGGCGCATAGCAGCTCGATGGAGTTCCTGGCGATTCCCAAAACGACCTTTTTCAGCTTCGCCTTTGTCATTCTTTTCTAACGAGGGCTGAGTGTATGCAATGTAATGCAATGTTATGTACGTAATGCAATGTAACAGTAGTGTAGTGTATTGTAACGTATGTAATGTATTGAAGTAACTAAGAAGTATGTCTGTATGTCTGTCTGTATGTAATGTAATGTAATGTAATGTAATGGTATGGTATGGTATGGTATGGTATGGTATGGTATGTATGTATGTATGTATGTATGTATGGTATGTGTGGTATGTATGGTATGTAAGGTATGTATGGTATGTGTGGTATGTATGGTATGAATGTATGGTATGTCTGTTGGTATGTCTGTTGCTATGTATGTATGTATGTATGTATGTATGTATGTATATATGTGTGTGAATGATTCATGTATGTATGTATGTATGTATATATTAATGTAATGTAATGTATTGTAATGTATGTATGTATGTAATGTAATGTAATGTAATGAAAGTATGTATGTATGTATGCATGTATGTATGTATGTATGTATGTAAGTAATGTCAGGTATGTAATGTATGTCATGTCATGTCATGTCATGTATTGTGTTGTATTGTATTGTATTGTGTTGTGTTGTATTGTTTTGTATTGTATTGTATGTATGTATGTATGTAAGTAAGTATGTAATGTATGTATGTATGTATGTATGTACGTATGTATGTATGTATGTATGTGTGTATGGTATGTATGGTATGTATGTATGTATGTTATGTATGTTATGTATGTTAGGTATGTACGTATGTAGGTACGTAGGTACGTACGTATGTATGTATGTATGTAGGTATGTAGGTATGTATGTTTGTATGTATGTATGTATGTATGTATGGTATGTATGGTATGTTTGGTATGTATGGTATGTATGTTATGTATGTTATGTGTATTATGTATGTTATGTATGTTATGTATGTATGTATGTATGTACGTATGTACGTATGTAAGTATGTACGTATGTACGTATGTACGTATGTACGTATGTATGTATGTATGTATGTAGCTACGTACGTAGGTACGTACGTATGTAGGTATGTAGGTATGTAGGTATGCAGGTATGCAGGTATGTAGGTAGGTAGGTAGGTAGGTAATGTATGTATGTATGTATGTATGTATGCACGGGTGGGTGGATGGATGGATGGATGAATGGATGGATTGATTTTGTTCCTGAAGTTGTGCTCGAGGCCGTTGTGGTGATGGCATTTTGCCATGGGCTCTGTCAAAATGAGCGGCCCTCTCATTGGTCAGTGGTGGCTCAGAAGTAGTCCACGGTGATCCCATCAGCGGCAGGTTCATTTCCATGCTCGTCTGGGGCCACTGCTGGGTCTTCTTCACATTCTTCCTTTTCTGCTCCTTCGGGCAAGGTTAGATCACCATGAAGGAGTCCAGAGGATGGTTGGCCGAAAAGTGGCCTCGTAGGCACAGGCTCCTCTTGGCTGGGTGTCATGGCCTGAGGAGTTGCGGCGCCTGCCAGATTCCAGTGCCAGGGCTTGTTGTTGGAGTTTGGTGAGGTCAATGGTGCCATAGAAAATGCGCATATCCATGAGCACTGTGACACCGTGTCTGCCTGTTGTCCTGTTTGCCTCTTGTCTGAGAAGGCGTTCGAGGGCCACATGTAGAGTAGTGGCGCCGGGTCTGGCTCGATCATAGTCCATAGTGGCTGGGAGGTCGCGTTGCCACTTGTCGAAGAGGTTCTTCCGGAGTCTACACCATGTTCGGTATAGAACAGAGGTGAGCGTGATGGGGCGCTCAATGGCTTCTTTTTTTTGCCAGCGCGATGACCATGCTCATCTGGAGCTGGGTCGGGAGGGTGGCTTCCATCTCCATATTGTGTAGCAGCTGGAGGAGTGGCGCCAAAGAGTGCTGTACAGAGAAGCTGGGTGGTGATGGCATCTGGACCGCATGCTTTGTCCGGCAGGTGTTTAAGGGTGTACGCCAGCTGCCCAATTGTCAGTGGTGGCAGTTGTGCGGCCTGGGCGCGGGCATTTTCTTGAAGATTGGGCCTGCTGAGTGGCATGCTGTCCTCGGTTGGTTGCCAGAGCTTGTGCCAGTCTTTCAGTCGATGCCGCATTCTGTCAGCCGTAGGAATCTGGCGGTAGGGTCGCTGCCAGGCTAATTCGCTTGCTTTCCAGGATCTGAAAAGTCCTTTCAGCCCCTTTGCTTCACCCTGCCGGATCCAGGCTTGGTATTGTAGTATGACCTCGTCTCGACGTGCCTGCGCAAGCTGACTGCTGGATCATTTCACTTGTTCGTAGATCGTGATGGATCTTCCAGTGGTGGACTGTGTCCAAGAATTGAGCCCAGGTCTGTTCCCCCAACCAATGTTTTGAGACATTTTGGAGTTGGTGCAGGAGGCCTTTGGTGGGGCCAGTGTTGCCTTCTTGGTGGTGGGCAAGTTAGAATCTTGCCTTCAATTGCTCCCAGAAGGCTGGTCGGCCTTTGCGCCAGATCCCACCTGAGGAGATGGGTGTCATTGGCAGGTGTTGTGCTGTGAGATTGGATGCTCTGCCTTGGGGTGCTCAAGGGTGCTGTTGTAGCAAGTACTGCTCCGTTTTGGATACCCAATCAGCTATGTCTCTGGCCTGGGGTTTGGGCTGAATCTCATAGAGATTGATTTCCTCGAATGTAGGTTGGTGACGGAAATCCTCGTCCAGGGCCAACTCATAGGTGAGGAGGCAGTGTGGTCGCCATGGGATAGCCCATTCAGTGGTGAGGGAGACATATGGGGCCAGCTGTTGATGCACGAGTGCAAAGTCGACAGTATTGCCATTGATCAGCTGCCATTGGGTGCATTGATCTCCCAATGAAATTTGGAGCCGAGGACCGTGGCTTGTAATTGCCCTGGGGGAGAATTCCAATCACCAACAATAATGTATTGTTTTGTGGAGGCCTCGGCCTCAATGAGCGCCAGAAGTCTTGCCAGGATCTGGGAGTTGGTCTGGCCCTGGATGCCTTCATTGGTCTTGCAGTAGATGACGGCAACCAGGATGGACCTGGCTTTCACTTCCCATAAAAAGGCATGGTAACCACATCCCTCGATGTGAAATTGTTCCGAGTCCGTGATGCCATGGGCATGGATGCCTGAGTCTTCTAGATTGCTGGCTGGTGTGCCAAAGGCGTACAGCAAAGTACTGGTATATAGTGTGTGCTTTTGCTTGTCGATGTGTGTTTCAACGAACACGTGCATGGAGTTCGTTCTCTCGGCACCAAAACCCGTCAAGCACCTGTTTGCCAAAGGAGGTCACATTGGCATAGTTGAGCCGCATTGCTTGGATCTTGGGCTTCTTGGGCGGTGTCTGGTGTAGAGGTGGGTCGTAGTCAGGTGACTCTGGCGGTGGGAGTGCTCGTGCAATTTGTCTTGGGGTCACAAAGGCCGATATCTGCGACTGCTGAAACTTGTACTATCTGGCCCGCCAAGGTCGGGGTCAGGAAAGGTGCTTTGCCATCATGTGCAATCCAGAGGAGATCTGTACACCAGGATGGTGAACCAATGCCCGGTCTCATGGATTTGTCCTGTAGGTAGGCAATAGGGATGTATTCAGCTGCAGCCCTGGAGAATCCATCAAGGGACCTGGGGACTGTGAAAGGATCATGTGGGTTCAAGGCTCTTGTGAGAACCCCGTCAATTGTGGTGCCCCAATCCTTGATTGGACCAGCAGTTGATGAGCTCTTGCCATGTCAGTTCATCTCCATAGTGATCTGGGTAGTCGACGACCAAGGCCACTTGCACATGATCGTGTAGGTAACCTCCTTCTCTGATCTCTGAGTATCTATACTGCATGACCCTGGTTTGGGACTTCAACCACAGTGAGTTCACGAAGTGTGAAGCGTCTCCTTCTGCATTGAGATCGTGTTGGAGCCATAGATCGTCCAGCCCTGGTAGGGTCTTGATGCCAACGGGTTCTGCAAGCTCCATGGAGCATTTGCATAGCACCGGGCACTTGGGTTTCCCACTACCATCGTGAGATTCTGCAGCAAAAGATCAGTGGTGGAGGCATATTCGTAGAACTGCCTATCCTGGCCGCCCGTGGCCGTGGGTGTGCAGCTACCTGAAGATTCCAAAGGTGAACCTCCTCTCAGCTGGATCACTGCGGAGCCATGCGGCGCCGTTGAGGATGGCTGGTGATCAAAATTGGTATCCATCTGTGCCTTATTATGGTGGTCAATGGATGTGGTCGGACGAGTGAATTTCTCTTCCCCTGCAACAGTGCATGAAGTTCCCTGAAGAGTATGAAAAGCCGTAGCCCTCTGATGCTGGGACAATGATTGTCTCTCCCCTGCAACCTTGTCTTAAACTGATCCCATTGCCGGTTCTGAGCCTTGAGGGACAGCGCGGCAAACCCCATTGGTGGTGTGATCCAAATCCAAATCCGTGACGGCTTCAAATTCATCGTCTGGAATTGGAATGCATACCCCATTCATGACCTCATGGTCTTCGTTTTGTGTGTTACCCACACTGTCCGCCAGATGGCGGGATGGGGCCGGACTCTGTTTTCCTGCGTGTTGTGGGGTCTTCAAGATCCGGATTGGGCCTCTTGAGAAACCCATGGAGTTGAGACTTTTGCTCATCTGACAGTGAGATGCCCAGGCTGTGTACGAAGGATTCCACAGCCATCGGAATTTGCTCCATTTCTCCTGGTGTCTCGGTGGTCAACCCTGTGGGTGGTGGAGACTGGTTCACTGCTTTCATGTAGTCCTCTGAGAGAGTCTTGAGCTTTTGCTGGCCCTGAGTGCGTTTGTTCTGGAGCTCTTGCATGTCTTGCAGGAGGGTGGCGTACTGTGCCTTGATTTGATCCAATATTGTTTGGAGTTGAGTCTTCCGCGCTGAAAGTTGCTTGAGCTCAGTGACTTGGGACTTGAGTTGTGCTGCAATGTCACGTTCAGTAACCGGTTCTGGTGCTGTCAGTCGGGTGACGACTTCTTGGACTGGTTGGGGCAAATCTGCCAAATGGGTTTTGAGCAGGTCTTTGACAGGCTTCTTGGGCCCGATCCCACTGGCCTGCAGTTTGTCCTGGATATCTTCTGGTAAAGTAGTCCAGGTCGTGCTGAGCAGGTCCGTGGCTTCTTGCTGGACTTTGGTACGCGGTTTGAGCTTTGGTTTGCTGGCTGTGGACTTTGGTGGCCGTCCATAGCCTTTTCCCTTGCCAGTATGGCTTGGCATGTCAGGCCACCAAGTTCCGCACTTCCTGCACTTGGTGCCTGGCCTGAGTTTGTATTCCCAAATCCAGTTGTGGCATTTGGAGTGGCCACAAACCATGTAGCTTCTGCCCCACTGCATGATCACTTCGCCGGACTCGTTCTGGCCAAAGGTCTCTTCAGGCAGGTTGAGTCGGGGTATAGTGACCGGTTAGTTCAGGATCTCCTGAGGGTTGAAGGAGATTAAGGGCCGGTGTAGGGCAGGATGCCGTAGGTGGTGTCCAAAGCGAGCACTGCCAGATGCCAAAGAGGTCCGCAGGAGCGAGGCAGAAGAGGTCCGGATCACGAGCAAAGAAATTGTTGTAGGCGGACTTGTTCCTGGGCCATCCTGCTGGGGGTGTCCACGCTAGCGGGGTTTGGGGCTGCCCGCTTGAACACTTGTGGCTTGAGCCATGGTTGGATGTATGTGTGGATTGTTGGGTGGGTGGATGGATGGGTGGATGGATGTATGGATGGATGTATGTGTGTGTGGATGGATGGATGGATGGATGGCTGAGGGTATGTAGGTATGTATGTATGTATGTATGTATGTATGTAAGGAACGCAATGAGTAACTTGCCGACGTGCCGGGTTTTTTGATCTCTTCGTGGAAGCCGGCCTTTGTTCAGGTAGGTGCCAAGTTACCAATAGCGACTGCTGCTTTCCAATTGTCGCTCGAGCGTTGCAAGGTTGGTGGCCGTTGTCCATGCTGATGAACCACATGGCAAGGGCTGCCAGACACAAGTACTACTTGGACTTTACTGAGGCCCGCCTGCCGTGCCATCAGCTAGAATGCTGGAGTTGGGATGACATATAGGTCTTCAAAAACCCAAAGCAGCGTGACTTCGAACATCTTCAAAAAACCGAGGGTGTCCGGCCGAGGAACCGTGGCAGTTTTTCTTGCGCGAAAAGACAGGACCCCTTGTCCGCCTTGGTGGATTTCCCTGATTCTGGCGATTTGTATGGCAGGATGAGCTTGCTGGCAGCATTTTGGCCCCACAACAAGGGAGCCTTGGCTGCAACAAGAGCATTTGACAGGGGCCAGCAACTTGAATTATGAACATCATCTCATTGGCAGAGGGTAGTTTTGACTCATCATACTATTTGGGTTTCAAGTATTGATGGACAGTAGCATTCAGAGCTTATGTAGAAGCATGTGGAAGCAACAGTCAGTTTTCTTGACAGCAACAAGGTATGTACGTGTTAGATCTTGTGTTTTTTGTCACTGCTTAGTGCACTTGCTCACATGCCGGCGGGTGGGGTGGGTTGGGCTGTTAACGTTCGCTTCTAATGGCTTGCCCATACAGAAGAAACTCTTTTACATTGCGCTACGCAATGTGACTGACTGAGAGTGGGGTGGGGTGGGATGCTGACGTTTGGTTCCAATTGCACGTCGGGATGTTGACGTCCTCGTTGGGATGTCAACTTCAGTTCACGATTTGTTTTCACAAAAAAACGTATAAACGTTAAAAGCACGTGGTATTTTCACAAAGGTGTCACAGTCTTAACTAAATCCGGCGGGATTTATATAAATCACGAAAGCTAGCGAAGCTAGCTGGAGTTACTCTTGCGACAGCAAGGATTCTTTCGACCGGGTGCAAATCCTAACCCCTGATTTTTCAGGTCGAAGACCCCCCCCACCCCC